CATTGTTATTTTCCGGGTAGGCACTGATTGTTTATGTACTTTGTCGTGATCATTTTATTGACTGTCGCGAACTAGAGCCCCAAAAGTGTTGTTCCAGATGCCTTTATTGCGCTTGGTGGTTTCATCTTAGAACTTTTATAAGATGTCTAGTCATGCCATTGATTTTTATGCCATTTTGTTTGTGACAGCCACAATAAAACATTGCCATTTACTTTCAGAACTAAGCCGTCTTCATCTATTATAAAGCCCACCCTTGAAGCATGTACTATCACACTCACAAAGGGCCATACTACCTTTCTTTAGGGGATAAAAGTGATTCCATCAAGTGTACATTTAACCTGTAATAAGGTGGTGAACTGGGCCAGTTAGTTGCTGTTATACATGATGGGGAAAACAGCTCGGAAAGCGCGGACTACGGAGAACAAACACGACAGGACAGCACTGTCCTGTCGTGTTTGTTCTTCGTAGTCTGCATTTTCTAAGCTGTTTTCCTCATCGTTTACATTTATCCCCAAAGTGGATCATAGTTCCCTCCTAAAGGAGGTGAAAGCAGCGCCCTCAATTATGTCGTCTCACCTCTCAAAAGGCTTAAAGTTCCCCCCTAAAGGAGGTAAAGGCTGACACTGAAAGGATGCACTTGTAACACCGAAAGGAACTAAGGTAACCTCCAAAAGGAGGTAATGTTGTACCCTAACCCAGGGGTTGCCCTGTGTGCAAGCCGGTTACCCCCTTAAGGAGGGTACTACAGTACCCTTTTTTTTTTTAAGAGTGAAAGGTAGCATAGACCGTTTTATCGTGGGTAGCGCCATTTTGAGAGCGAGAGAGAAAAGGGGAAAGGGCTACCGGCGCTTTCCCCCTTTCTGATTGTGTAGAAAGACTGAAAGTCCCGGATGAGAGGCTTGGCCGGTGTTGGGTCTACGCAGTGCCCGAGCTTCGTCCGCGATTTCTCTTCTGTTTTAGAATCTCAAACTTAATTAGAGCCACGGGCTTCGATGGAGAGAGTCCCCAGGTCAACGGGACAGCATTGCTCGGTCATAGGGTGCGCTAATAGCGACAGGAAGCGTCGAAGAGTGTCCGAGGACCTATGCAGCTAGCATGGAATCCGGCAAGGCGAGTGCGGCTGCAATGTTTTTAAGAGGCATCGCTTTCCGCCTGACCTCGATCTCCGGCGGCAGTGGGTCGCGGCAGTAAATCGGAAAGACTTCTCCCCCACGTCAAGCTCTCGAGTGTGCTCATAACATTTCGCGAATGGAACGCGCACCGAGATCAACGCTCTGCCGTCGTTCAACATGGGCTACGATCGCAAGGTGGGTACAAGTTTTTTTTGTAGGAATCGCTGTTGGAAGTTTTAACTTTTCGGTTGTTATTATTTTCAGGTTGTAGTTCCGCGACGACGTTTGCAAAGAACGAACTACGTGCCGCCACTAAAAGTAAAGGTAACCGCCTGAATTCGCCCGATTTTCGCGCAGATTGTGAAATGCGATATTTTTTTTTTTTTTTATTCAGAAAGTCGGACATGACCCAAGTCCAGCTTCCTCTAACATGGCTTCATCATTGGGCTCCTCTTCACCGTCCGACAAGGTGCGTGTGGTTTGCAAGATATTTCTAGGTAATGTCTATTCTCCCGCCTGCCGAGAGAATAGACACTGCCTTATTTCTATTCGTGATAGCAGAGCAAACGACACAGGCGCCAGATCGGCGGTTAGGTGGATCTAGTCGTGTCGGGGTGTTTAATCAAGAGACGTACAAAAGCAATCGGCTTTCTTTCCCAGACAACGCTGGGCTACAATGTAGCAGCGCTAACGGGTATCAGCTGAAAAAGTAACATAAAGGGGAAAAAAATTGACATGTTTCTGCAGGCTCCAATGTGGTAGCCTTTAATGTTGATTATCCACAGAAAATTGCTCTTCTGTAATATTGATCCAGGCACAATTGAATCAAGCATGCTCTGTGAGGCCCAGGGTTCATTAAATCAGTGCACATACTTTTATGGGGCAAATATCTGAATCAAGGCAACGACCAAATAATCTGATAGATCAAGGGCGGCCAGAATGGCATCGGGTGCCGCAGACAAAACTACACAATTTCAGAAAGCCGGAGGAAAAAAAAAGGGGGGGGGGGGGCTATTTTTAGTCAGAAACGATGTGGAGGGAGCAGTCTTTTCCAAAGGCTAGAAGTATAATTGTCGACTACAACAAATAGCACCAGACAGCAGAATGTTTCTTTAACCGCTAAGCAAAAATGAATGCATACTCACTAGCCAGCCCCTGCTTACGGTTAGAAAATCTTTCTACAACAATCAAGGAAACTGGGTCACTGGACACATCTATGTGTCAAAAAGCAATCCACCTGTATGTACGTTGTGTAATTGTACGAAGCTGCCAAGGCTGTGACCTTTTTCTTCTTTTATTAATTCTAGAACTTTTTTTGTTTTGGGGGCACAGGAAGGAAAGGGGGGGGGGGGGCACTCATTAGGGAGCTGCGAGCTGCACTTGAATCCGCGAAGAGCCGCATTCTGCTCATGAGCCGCAGTTTGGCCACCCATGTCAGAGATCAACCTCATTCACCATTCAGTTCTCATTACTCTCTGAACTAATTTCAGCAACACCAAGATCCCAACAATGATGATGCAGAAAGCACATGGAACAATCAGCCGCTGAACCTAGTGAGTTAGCCACAGTATTTTCTGATATGCCAAGCCCTAGGACAAGTCTTTATCAGTTTTAGGAAAGTCTTTATCATGTTTTAACCTGCAGGCAGCTGAACGACCACCACAAACGGACAACACACTCGATTCAGTAAGCACATTATCAAACAAACCATAGCTTCAAAGTTGACTGAGAAAACTGCATTGGAGTGTCTTTGCTACTGATTTGACATCATCTTTTGCATGTATTCACGCTCGGAATGATGCAAATGTCAGTCTGCGCTGTTTTTCGTTACGCAGGGGACAAGTGCAGGTAGCATGCCGATAGGGGCCACATTCCTCGACCCCAAGCATGCGGTCGACGTAAGCTAACCTTAGTTTCTTTGTGTTGTGTGATGTCGAGCACACGGCTTTTATCCATCTCGCCATGTGTGAACTTACAGGCTGCTGATGGGTTGTCGCCAACCATCACCCTACCCGAGGAAGTGCCTGTCTCTGGGCTCCATACGCTGCCTTCGGTAAACACATTGTCATTTTCTCACCTTTAGCAACTTTGTAGACTCACATTTGACCTCGAAAGCCGTTTCACAGAGTTCTTGCCACTCGGTTAGCTGTCTCTTGCATATATTTGCTTACTTCATGCTCGGAATGACGCAAATGTGTTTTTTTCTTCTCTGTGGTATGTTTTTCGTTACGCAGGAAACAAGTGCAGGGGCGATGGAGACAGGAGTCACGCTTCTGGACTGTGAGCCAATGAACCTAGTGCGTATTAGAATTTTTTTGTCTAATATGATGCTTTATGCCTCAGTTGTTTGTTGCCATGGTGTCATGTCTGATTCTGTTTAGATTTGCAGGCCATCGAAAAGCTATCCACTGAAGATGCTCAAGCTCAAGCTACGAAAGATCATGAGCCTGGCGTACTCCCTCTGGTAGGCATGTTTTAGTTGGAGTACTCTAGAGCAGTGGTTCTCACCAATTGATGTTTCGCGGACCCCTTGTGAAACGGCGGAGATGATGGAGGGCCCTGTTTGTGGTGAGGGGAAGGGAAAGGTATAGGTTAATTATAATAAAGATTTAATAAATGGATATAACTAAGGACTAGCATAAAGTAGACTACTCTTATTGTCATGTACACGAGAAAACTCAACCGAAAATTGGAATGCTTCTTCTCAGTCTGAGAAAAATACAGCTTTTATTGCCTGGCTCGATTGATGAGGCAACGATTCGCGGACCACAAGAATGCCTTTGCAGACCTCCATTTGAAAACCACTGATCTAGAGTAAAAGTGTATTTAGATACCTTTAAAACTATCCTAGACAGATGATGTCTGACAAAACTCTAACAGTTTACTGTCAAGATAAAATTTTATGAGGCAACATCTTTGAATTCAACATGTGAGCTCACTTATCAGGGTAAAGTTGTGAAAGTAATTTTACTCCTTAAAGGCTTCGCGTACCCATTTGCTGACATTATGAGCTCTAATTCACTTCTGGAGCTTTCTGAGACCTGTAACTTGACTGCATTGCAAGAAGGTCATAAAAAAAAGAGCTGTATTTTAAAAACTTTGTTAGAGTGCAAACTTGCGGCTTCGACTCCCAATAAGAAAATTAAATGTAAGCAACATTCACTACAGCCTACATCAGCTAAAACTCACCATCTGCTGTAGCATAAATGTAGCATAAGCACTTGTGTTGGCACGTGAAACATTCTTGTGTTTAGCCTCTCCGGCTTGACGGTGTCGCAGATCCGACAGCGGGGCCAGGCTTTTTGAGGGCGCAACCTGGGTTGCCAGGAGCGTTGCGATGCCGACTGTTGGCGCTTCAGCTTGTGCTTCAAATGTCCGGGGGTGGGGTACTCGGACACGAACGATCCGGTGTGGGGGGGGGGGGGGGGCATTAAAGACCATAGGGGGAGAGGGGGTACAGCGAATGTCCTGTGGGGGGGGGTCAAAAGCTTGGGGGGAGGAGGTACCCAGACACGAAAGACTAGGGGGGGGGGGGGGGCTCACTGCTTTACTCGTTCACTTTCAACGAAATGCTAGGCTATGAACGTAGCACATTAAAAATACAAACAAGGGAGTCAGTTGTAGACAGGATACGCCGTCTCCTATTCTCAACTCCGCTCACTTCGTTTGTGGTTTTTGTTTTCATGTATAACTATAGCAAAGAAACTCTTTTAATAACCGTTTCACTAACATAAATTCCAAGTAGTACAGAAATGAGTCTTATGCTCTAAATCTGCTTTCCAGCGAGGAAGAAAGTCTGCAGCTACACAGTGGGAGCAGGTTGCAGTTGCTGACCACCCGTACAGCAAACCACTATGACTGGGTTGCGACAAATCAGTCGCAGCACGCATGTCACCCTGCGACATCCACTTCTACACAGGAGTAACACGAAATGTTTTTGATAGTCTGGCCAGCGCTGTAAGAACGCTAGTCAAAACAAGGTCAGCAATGCCCCTGGAAGATCAGCTGCTTCTGACGCTAATGAGGCTTAGACTACGATTGCTGTATGGCGACCTTGCTCGTAGGTTTGATATTTCTGTGTCGCGTGTGTGCCAGATTTTCAACATGCTACTACGAGCATTAAAAACCGTGATGGAGGATGTCGTCATTTGGCTACCACGAGAGGCAATTCATGACAGCATGCCACCAAGCTTCATAGATACTGGGTACCAGAAGACGACATGTATCTTCGACTGCTCCGAGATTACGCTCCAGCGACCTAAAAAGCTGATGGCACGAGCCCAAACATATAGTTCATACAAGGCTAATAACACTGTAAAATTTTTAACGGTCATTGCACCCAATGGTCTAATCATGTATGTGTCTCGGGCGTATGGAGGTCGCGCATCTGATAAGCATATTGTGAGAGACTGTGGTGTGCAGGAGTTTTTCCAGCGTGGTGACGAGATCATGGCGGACCGTGGCTTCACGCTCGACAGCTACCTTGAAGTTCAGGGCGTGAAGCTAAACATGCCGGCGTTTACTAAAGGTGACGTCTGCTTGGAAATATTCACCTAACGTTTCTATAGTTTCTTTTCCACTATATGCCTTACCTAGGGTGCCTTCATGTGCGCTTTGCATAGGGTAATGACATCAAGCCATTTTGTTTCGATTTTTCTTTTTTCGCTATGAGCGCATGCCGTCTCGAGCTCGTAGCTTTGCTTGCGAGCTTGAAGTACTACAAAGGATGTCGTCACTTTAAGCAAAGCGCACATGAGGGCGCCCTAGCCTTACATCAGTTTCTTTGCACTAAAATTCACCGCTTGTGCTTGAGACTGCACGACCTACCATTGCAAGAGGGTTATTCGCTGATCCGGGTAAGCAAACGGAACCAAATGTTCTAAATTCAAACCCGATCGTTGAGGGTCTCGCGCTAGCTCGCAGTTCAGCATCAAAATCTTCGATCGCATGGCGGACAATGACAGGATCAGAAGCAAGGAGGCTGTTTCTAGCTTACTTTTTCACCCCGTTTGGAATGTGCTCACCTTATTACTCACCTGCACATGTTTCATGTTATAGGTAAAACTCAGCTGTCAGAGGCTGAAGTAACAAGAACCTGGAGAATTGCATCTGTGCGGATTCATGTTGAGAGGGCTATCAACCGTATGAAAACGTACAGGATCTTCAAGTCTGCACTCTGCATCAAATCGAAGCAGACAATAACGAATATGATATTTGTATGTGCCGGCTTATGCAATCTGAAGCCTCCTCTGATAGCCGAGTAATCACAGCCGCTTTTGAATTGTGTAAACAATTTAATCCATCACATGGTAAAATGCACAAAAAAGAAATCAATGCTTCGCTGAAGTCCAGTGGTATCTTATTTGGTTCTTGTATTCCCTCAGTCATTAAAGTTATTACATAGCACATAGTTGCCTGTACTCACTGGAAATTACAATGATTCCCTCCCTGCACCTTCTCTCCAGCTCGGGCAACATTTGGCAGAAATAGAAGCGCTCGAGTCTTGCCAAGTTCTCATTCAGAAATGCTTCATCAAACTTCACTAGTAAAGAAACTTCCTCCTCTGCAGACCAGACATAGAGAAAGCAGAGTTTGGTTTCTGTGCACAGCATGCACAACTGCACTTGACTGTAGAAGCCGGTAGTTTTGGGAAGGAAATATATGCCATCCTTGATCCTTACATCGTAACCTCCACGTGCAATGTATTCTTTGCAGTTAAGAACGTTGGGGCACTTAATTTCTAAGATGGCATTATGGCTCGTAATGAGGCCATCCGGTGAGGCTGATAACCAAGGGCGACCTTGACACACCACAGTTCCCGAGGAGCCAACAGTCAGGCCCGTGACCTCAATGAATTTTTTACGTGCCACTGGTTCATTCTTGATGCCGTGTGCGGTTGCTGCATTTCCACGGAATTGCGGATTTACTAGCGTCTGCGACGCGTTTTCAGTAGATGTTTTGGCTAGTTTGGGGATGACACTCGCAGTGGATGCAGTTATCCGAAGCCGCCTTGCCATGTGCCATAACGAGCTGTCACTTTGGTGCCTTGTGGCATGCTCCAGTGATTCTACTCCCACCTCTGACAACTGAACAAAGCTTGTGTAGAAAGCCTCACACAAGACACAGCTCTCGGGGAGTATGTCAACATCCTCATGGCTGCTGCGCAGTGTGCTCTCGTCTGGCTCAGGGTTGGTAGGCTGCGGACGTGGTGCAGCTGTGAGTGCTGAATGCAATAGGGTTCCTGGGGGATAAACAAAATAATATTACAACATTAAACACACTATAAGTCTTGTTCTGATTGACCCCCTTACAAGAGGCTGTTTTTCTCTTCATTTCTGAGAATGTGCGAATAACCTGTGTGACCACCCTCAGCTTGTAAGGAAGGTGGGTGGCCACACGCCATTTTTATGTAGATGTACTGTGGCACATTTGGAGTGAGTTTTCTCCAAGTGCTTGCATGCAGCTAGGCACGTAGAGGCTTATGGTTTCTGGCCAACAGCAGCACCTGCATATAGCCCCATTGGCACCATATACTGCTGCTAACCAACGAGCTTCTTACAGAAACAATGAAATAAATACAACTTAAAAATAGCCTGCAAGCATTGCGAATTTTGCCTCCTAGTGAAAAACTTCCGGTGTTATGATTCTTGCATACCAAGACTGTTTTACGGTCACTTTAAAAAGGGTTGATTTATCTTGTTACTGGTTTTGCTGAATAAGAACTTTACATAGTGACATTTAAAATTTTTCAGCCAATAAATCATTGCTGATAAAACCTACAACTGAAATTTTTTTTCATTCCAGCTGCTGTATGTGGGCTAACATGACTAAGTAAACATACCAGGTATTTGAAATAGCCCAGGCCACCGGGATTCGCTGTGGTGCTTTTCAAGTTTCTTTTTGCTTGTGAATGTGCGCTCTGGTGGTGCACGTTTCTTGTTGGAGGCCATGTTGTCGACGGTCCTCGTCTGCAGCTTCAAACCAATTGTTTCCAGCAGAGCCGGCTCCACATTTCGTTTGGTTCCACGATTCTATGTGCTTGTTCTGTCTGTGCAGACCTCGCCGGTGAGTCCAACAGCCACAGCCATGTCCACTTTCCACAGTATCGCACCAATGTGGCTGCACACCTTGGCCTGACCAGCCACGCAGCTGCACCCACCGGTGACTACTTCTCCACCTATCCTTGCACACACCCAAACATTGTGAAATTTACCGCAGGATTGCGATGCTAGGACTTTAGCCTTCAGCAAGGTCAGGTCTGCATCAATTTTGTGAGCCAGGACGGTCCCGACCCACCCACTCTGAAGATAATTGTAGGATTCCAAGCTTTTGTAGGCTTTCACTTCTTGAAGATCGCATGCCTTCGAATGCAGAAGGTAATAAATAATATTTGGTCCTCTGATTTCAGGCCACTTCTTTATGTCTTCCTCCCATGTGCTTATAACACTTGGATGAAGATAATGCCGGCCCTCTGCAAATTAGACAACACATTGAAAGCTTTGTTATTAAACAAACTCACTTGAGGAATTATGGGAACAGCAAACATTGTCACACTAGAAAACAAATGTGTTAGCAGCCCGTCATTCTTATCAGGCAAAAAGTTTTTAGACATGAACAACCAACTCGCCCAAGCTGCAGTATTAACAAAAGCTAAAAGGTCCAGTGGGATCTTTGTCTTTCCCAGAATTGGTTCTAGGCATGATTTGTAAAATAAAAGGTTGTGCATTAATTATTGTGACTTTAATATTTTACATTAGTGGCATTGTCTTAATTTTATCTACAAACGCCACCCATGTCGTTTTGCCATAGACGGCAGCGGCCGCCCCCTACTCTCCCCCCCCCCCCCCCCCCCCCCCCCGAAACAAAATCCTGGCCACGTGCCTTTCGTAAACAATGCAGGGGCGGTGTCGAGCTGACACCCTGCCACCTTCCAAACACATCCAACACAACAGCGCACACAGGTGCAAATAAAATATCAATTTTGAATGCTGAAGCAAGTGCCTGAAACTAATGAATGATTTATAAATTTTTGCTTGCACTGGGCCTATTTCAATGTAGCCGCGTTTAGTAATCAACAAGCGATACACGACACAGGACCCTCAATTAACTTTTGTAAACACCCGGAGCTGCCACCGATCTTTTTGCTGCGCTGTTTTTATCGTGCGTGTCCATGTTCTTATATTTCCTTGTGAATGAACGCGCGACGAAGGAATTCTAGATTTACTTATCTGGAACCGCAGAAAGCCTCAAAGCAGCCACGAAATATTTTACTGTTTGCTGCAATATTTTGAATACTCACCTCCAATTTCTATCGCTGGCGCGTTCGCTGCCGCTATTCCCCTCGTCGTCGCACTGGCCGATGCCATGACTCGAAGAAACGTGCTCACTGGGCTCGAAAACGCAGTTCGCAACACCGAGACGTATTCTGCAGCGAATATCCAGCGCTTTAAAGCGCCCGATCAACGGAAACAACGAACCAGTGGTACTCCAACGAGCGCTTTTGCCGTCAGTCAGTCTTGAGAGCAAGGAAATAAGGGGAGTGTTGCTCTTTTGCCGGCTCTGGTATCGCGCAGGAGATCGCGATTCAGGAAAACCGATAGAAGTAACTTTTCAACAATTTCCAGCCACACCCGGTAGCGGAAATGAGCCTTCAACTAAGTGTTGTAGATGACAAAATCAAGTCAGTGTCACCACTAAAATATATCAATATTCAGATAAATTAAGTTACAAAATTTTACAAACTGACACAGCAATTATCACGAGCAAACTCAGATGCACCTTGCGAGTGTACCCCATGTTCATCGACGGTACAGCGTTCAGTGCGCACTCCATTAACAAAATGTTCCGAGCATAGTCGAGAGAATAGTGTTGAGGAAACGATTTTTCGGTTTACGGACGCAATCCACTGCCGCCGGAAACCGGGGTCATGTGAAAAGCGATGGAGATTAAAGACATTGCAGCCGCTCTCGCCTTGCCGGATTCCTTGCAAGCTACGTAGGTCCTCGGACACTATTCGACGCTTTCTGTCGTTAGTCGTGCGCCCTATGACCGAGCAATGGTGTCCCGATGACCGGGTGACTGTCGCCATTGAAGCCCGTGGCTCTAATTAAATTTGCGAGTTTAAAACACAGAAGAAAGCACGAACGAAGTTCTGGCTGTGCAGACGCTCAACACCGGCCAAGCCTCTCATCCGGGACCTTCACTCTTTCTACACAATCAGAAAGGGGGAAAGCGCCGGTAGCCCTTTCCCCTTTTCGCTCTCGCCCTCTTTCAGTAAAACGGTCTATACACGAACTCATCTCTGTTGCGTCACGGCGCGGTGGTGGCGCGTCGGACGCACTTCCGGTCTGGGGCTGTGGGCGGAAGAGCCCATTTGAGACGTGTATTCCTGCGTTGTTTTTAAAGAAACCAGACAAAAACCTGCCTTCTCGTCAAAATGCTGCGACTGGGGCTGACCAAAAGTGTCGAGAAAGGTTTGAAGGTCAGTTTTCATGCGCTCGGCTTGTCCGAGAACGCGGATATGTGCCGTGAAAAGGGAAAACCAGACGCCGTCGGACCACGATTGCTTGGGCGGGAAGCATTTTGGGTTAAATTCACGGATACTACTGGCAGTGTTGTATGCGTTACCGAAAAAAAGTAACTAAATACGTTACTCGTTACTTGCAAATAAAAGTAACGCGTTACCGACCTACGTTACCTCAAAATAAAAGGAACGCGTTACCGTTACCGTTACTGATAAAAAGTAACGCACGTTACTGTTGCGTTACTTAGTATTCACGAACTAAAACATTTGCTCTTTCGACGTCTGATAAGTGCGTAAGCGCCATAGCTAAAATATGTCCATACGGAAACTTAATTACCCTCTCTTTACATGCTTCTTCAGGTTGGAGCTTGAGGACTTGGCACAACTTAAGAGTTTCAGCTGTGGCTGACACAAAAGGCACTTAAATATTAAATTGTCATCTTTAGCTTCTGTCAGTTCGAAATATTCATTGAGTCCTGGCCAAGGCGATGAAGCTGCGCTTGCCGTAGCCATCCTACAGGTGACGACAACTGCTTGCGAATGGCTTTCGTGGGGGTTTTTATCGTCTTCAGTTCTGACAACTGGTGCGCTACCTTGAAGATCCGCTTCCAGCACGGTTCAGGAGAAATCGCCGGGAAGCGTCTCTCTGGCGCAGTAGGATTGCGGGTTCACTCTCGCACAAAGAATAGCCACTGGGGTTCCACGAAGGGTTAAATTAGGATAGTAGAAAAAACTGAACCCTCTCTCCTCGGAGGATTAGAAGTTGACCTCGGAGGACTTCTATCATTGTGCCTGCCACTGCCCGCGACAGCGTTCGTCGAAGCGGGTCGATGGGCGTGGCGTTGGGGTTTCCGTAAAGCAGGAATGTTTGCCTGTCCAAACAGGACACTACAAGAATCGTCAGGCGACACGACGTCAGCGAATCCTTCAGTGCGCTGCTTCCGGACGTATTGTTATTTTCTTTTTTTTTTTTTTGCCGGGGGAAAGTTATTTCTGTTAAATCTCGCCCGGGCCCTCCACGGCGGCCTTGATCTGCTCATCACGTGGGTCCGGGGAGCCACTCACACGTTCTGTTGGCTGTCGGTCAATCGCTCAAGGCCTCCTCCTTTTTTCAAGTCCCGAAAACTGGAAAGAGAATGACACGAAGGTGTCATTCTCTTTCCCAGCGGGAAGCGAAACGCAGGCTTCGACGCAGGAATCTCCCAAATCCACCCGAAGCCGGACTTCCTTGGCCTTCCAGCCGAGGCGACGGCGGTCGCGAGGTCAACGAGCCGCCGGAGAAAACCAGTGGCAGATGGCCTGTGACGTCAAATCTGACGAGCACCGACGTCAAAGAAATGTGGAGGACAGTGGCATTTTTTGACTAAGGAATTTGTGACTGGGCACTTAAAAACACAAAAAAAAATATTAATTTTTTTTTCAAGTTTTAGGACGTAAAGTAACGTAACGTAATTTCGTTGCACGTTACTCAAAATAAGTAACGTAAGTACGTTACCCGTTACTTCTTTCAAAAAGTAACGAGTACGTTACTACGTTACCAAAAAAAGTAACGCGTTACCGGTAACGCCGTTACTTGTAACGCGTTACCGCCAACACTGACTACTGGCTATCAAATTTATTTGTTTTGTTCCAAAATGAATGCCGGAAAACCGTCAAGTTGTATGGACCACCTGCGGACTTACGTTCAGTGCGTCTTCAAGTTCAAACGGTCGCCTGATCGTTCGAACTGTCGTCTGCTCTTTCAAACGTTTCTGCTTGTCGTCTGCTCTTTTAGAGGACACCGGCTCGTAGACCAAACGTGGGCCCGGTACTTGCGATAAGAATTAAGTCCAAGCCTTAAAAGACTTAAGTTTGAAGGTTGGTAAGCAGGCTCGACGTAA